TTTTTTTTTTTTTTCCGAAGTCTTTGTTTTTCTTCTCGTAACGGGACGACTTCGTCGTCACGTTTACGGGATAATAACGGGCACGCTAAACACGACATTTTATCGCCAATTACCCTTCTTCCCTCTATCTCCATCTGTTGTATATTTTAATATGTGTACGATATATCGGGAAACCGAACGCCACCGTATTGAAGCAAAAAATGAAAAGCAAAAAAAAAAAGAGGAAGCCGAGCAAGACGAACCCGGGATTTAATTATAGTTGTGCGCGCGAGCACGCGCACGTGCGATGTATGTACATACCACCACGATGCTTCACGCTACGATAATTACAATTTAGGCTAGACCTAGGTTAGGTATTGTTGTATACCAAAACCTCGTGTAGCTGAATGAATCGGTAATTAATCGAATATATGTGAGAGATTGCATGAGAGACAAAGAGAGTGAGAGGGAGAGAGAAAATGAATGAAAGACTGTGTGTGTGTGTGTGTATGTATGTATGTATGTATGTATGGTGTGTGTGTGTGTGTGTGTGTGTGTGTGTGTGTGTGTGTGTGTGTGTGTGTGTGTGTGTGTGTGTGTGTGTGTGAATGAGAGAAAGGTAAATGCACTTGTGGCAGAGGGAACAGAGAGACCGCTGTCACCACCGCCGCCCTCCCCCCCCCCTCCCCCCGTTTCCCGCCCTCGAATCCCCCAAACTCTATTATCTTCCAGTGTTACTAATAGACTCATTGTTGAGCGCGAAAAAGTGATACTGATCGACGATGATTATTTATGTTATAATTCGTCCTCGATGTTACAGAAAAACCGTGTTTAATAAAAATTTCATTTGGACAAAAAAAGAGAAAGAGGCAGTATTGGCATTTCACTCAGAATTGACGGAGTCTCATCCACCACATAAATTCAAGTTAAGCGGATCAAGTTCTAATATAAATTTCCAGATTGAGAGAAGGAAAAAGATTCGTTTCGAGGCTACGTATTACGTGACCCACTTTGTGTGTGCGTGTTCCGTTTGTTTTCCGCTTGTTTGATTTACGAAGCCGATATCTTCGTCGTGAAAGATTATCTCCAGCGGGTCTGTAATCGACCAGGAGCCTCCCGGGAGAGGATCCGCCGTTAGAATTCGAGCCGCTTATCTCGAGACACGAGAATGTACGAATGTATAAAATTTACAGGTATAAATGTAGCGACAGCCTCCCGAACGAGTTTGGCATCTGTTTCTCCGTATCGCTGGCCGTTCGATCAAGACGAGAAACGATCCTTCTTTGTCGTCAACAACAGTTCAGCTGCGATTTTTCTCAAATCTTCTATATCTCGGCGCTTGGCAAAAAAAAATTTACAGAACATCTCGTTCGAGATGTCGCGACGCTCTGATCTCGAGAGATTGAATTAAAAAGGTCCGACTTCCTCCGTCCGTTTTTGATTTCGAATCGTATTACCTCACTCGCAGGAGAGCCGCCGCGATTTGTACGACGTTGCGTAACGCCTAATTACGCAACGTCGGACGGGAAAACGCTGCGATCCTGCGATCGAGCGAAGGCTCCTCCGATTCACATGATAAGCGTTATCCCGAGTGCTTCCTCGTGATCGCGTGACGAAACCCTGTTATTTTCACCGATATCTGCTCGATCGATCGACTACCTGGTAATCTCGACTGAAACAGCGTAGCTCATAGCGGCCGATAAGATAAAGTAATAATTCAATTGCTGCGGAGATAAAGAGGTGAAAACGATCAATTTCCGCTTTGCAATTCGCATTTTTTTCGGGGCGCGAGGCGCGCGGAGGGAGGTACAATTGACGCAATTGTTACGCAGAGACAAAGAACGAACGAGTCCTAGGAACAGATTTTATTGACAGAGATAAAAGACGCTTTGTTTCTTTTTTTTTTCTTCTTTTTCTTTTAATCGGTTTTAATATCTAAAGGGAGGGGGGGGGAAGGAGGCGAAGACACTGAGATTCTACATAACGTGGTTCGACAATTCGCGAAATAATACTGAAGATGTTACACATGGATCATACGGCGTTATGCGGGTTCGTTCGATCGAGGAGAGGCTGTACGTGTAATTACGCGTGGAAGGAGGGGGCGGGGGAAGGGGGGCCGGGGGAGAATAAATTAACAGAGTCCAAGTACAAACACGCACGCACCGCAATTACCCTCTCGCGGGACAGACGCGAGACGTACTCACGTATATGACGCGTGTAATTCGGCAAATGGATACGAACGTCGATCGACGAGGAACACAGTGAGATGTACGAATGTCCACTAAGCGTATTACAATCAGCGTTACAAATGTTTCTCTTTTTCTTTCCCGCGTGCGGGGAGACATCCGGATTGATCTTCGCTGGGCGAGACGTGGCGTTCTTCTCGAGACCGCTACACCAGGGAGTTCGATCCAAGTGTTTAATTAATTATTTTCCAGGACCAAGTAGAGAGAGAGAGAGAGAGAGAGAGAGAGAGACGAGGGACGTGTCGCGAGTGACACGTTGATACATGACGTCCCATCACAAACCCCCGACAGAAGTGTGTCGACGCATTACGGATCTACTTATTTATATATGTCGCATCGGTTGCGAAGGAAAACTCGAGGCAAGCACGTTCGATGCGCGTGTATCCGAGTGCTGTCGTCAAAATTGACTCGTGAATAATGCATGACGGTATGACACATTCGGATGAAGTAACAGAGGTAACGAG